CAAGTTTTGATAGAAGGTCCCCTGAGCCCACCCGCAATCCTGCATCGTGGTTGCATAATCATTCGTCCACTCATCACATAATCATTCGTCCATACATCTGTCTCTTATACACATCTAGATGTGTATAAGAGACAGGCTGGGCACCACACCGTTGCCAGAGGCCACGAGCCGTGCTTTTAAAACGTGCTTGAATAGACGTACGGATAATTTCTCGCACCACACCGTTGCCAGGGACCACGAGCCGTGCTTTAAAACGTGCTTGAATAGACGTACGGATAATTTCTCATCTTTGATTGGCGAGTTCTGCAGTTTTGAAAGACGTCTGTTATGGGCTGGCGGAGGTGGGAACTTGTAAGAGTTTTTTCACGCACGGCCTCGTTGCGCGGGGTACTCAGGACGCCTCCTGATGATGACTTGCTGGTTTGAAGGCCCTTCTTGTTCGTCGCGGCTGGAAAATGGACTGGGTATTTACGTGTTGTTTGAAACTATCCTAGCTGGCTCCTGATTTGGCACTTTATTGTCATCGTTTTTGTTGGAGTTCCTCGTTATATTCAGTCGACTAGATTCTACGATGGTTCAACCTTGAGACATTTCTCGGACTGCATTTCGTATGGATTCGAGTTATATGTGAAATTCGTATCTCGCCCTCTCAGTGTAAAACTATTTCGAGTGGTTTAAAGATGGGAAAATAAAAGTTTACTTTTCAACATTAGTGGAACTAGTTACACTCATTCTCAACACCCGTCGTAATCTTTGGTATCGTTATCCCTTGTCTAGCCGATGCCTCTAAATTTGGCCTGTGTAAATCTTCCTGCCATTGGTTATGAGCTCAGCCTTGTTTCTGTTATTACTTCAGTGTCACAGATCTGCTGGCATATCCCTGATATCTCCTCTTCGTCCTCATTGTGACACGAGTGCTGATCTGCCTCTTTGATACTATATTTTATTGCATGTCAGATTGCTTTTGAATTACATGAATAAATTTAGCTTCATAAAGCTCTGCGTATGTGTGATCCGCCCATAGGTTCGTACGTCTTCCCTCTATGAATATTACCATTATGGATGCATGAAGAAATCGCTAGATCAAGTGCAATAAGTTAGAGCCGAGAGCGGCAATTTATTGCACTTGTTTGATAAACCAGTACAGCATTTCCTATATACTACACACTGGTCACATTTACTTGATTAACGATCAGAGATTGAAGTTTTTCGTGTCTATTTGGACATTGTAAGTGGCAGTGACGATTTTTCGTAGCCCTAGCGTCCTTTAAAGTCTATTGAAAATTACGAGATTGAAAAATTGAAATACATTACTCTCCAGCTGCGAAAAGTAATTTTCTAACGTTCATAATTACTATGGCAAATAATTATCTATCTAAATTCAACTTTGAGGTGTCGACGATGTGCTTTGTTTCGTGATTTAGTGTCGTCGTCTAATGGATAATTCAACCATCGTTTGGAAATCCAAATGGCTCTTCAATTTTTCCGGCTATGTTCTGACGTATGTTTTTGTCTGTCATTAAAAGAGTGCAAAAAGTGCTTATGGCTTCATGGGGCTGGTGTATATAAGGAAGCGGCTTGCGAGGACCCGTCAGTTGAGCTGCTACAGTTGAAGTGTATTGTTTCCAGTCTTATAGTAGTCATCGCTTTGCAGAGCTTTGCTGCCTCAAGCTGTGCAGGCGCCTAAATCGCTCATTCCAGTGATACATAATCAGATCATCGTAGAAATAACCATCAAACTCCGCCACACACTTCCTCGAAAATCTACGCGTTGCTTGTCTCAATTTGTCTTGGTACATCACATTACTTCTGCATGTAAGTGATACGGAGTGATGTTTTCGCGGAGTTCGAATGAGCACATGCTCGAATCAAAGATATTTGAAATTATGTCGCACGGATAGATATTTTTATATCAAAGACTAAATTTCTACATTTCTATAGCTTGTTTTAATATTGATGTATTCGGCTGAGATATAGAGATCCCGCAGGATAATTTCTTCGCTTTTAAATTAGGAAAAACTTAATAAATTGTAACGAAGTATAATGAATTAGTAGACGGGGCTGATTTGTACGGAATTGTTCTCGTCGTCGTGTTACGCTTATTTTAATAACTATTCGAAAATGAAAAAAAGTCACCCTTTTCAGTTTGATTATAGCAATTCTACAGCTAGATTGGGTCAACGGCGTAGGTATTATCTGACATGAATAAACTGGCGTAGTTGTCAGGCCTTCATCCGCTCTTCTTCGTAACCTATAATTTTCATCTCTCTCAACATTCTAAACGTTCTGTTAGGAATAGAGTTATCGGTCAGCTGTGTAGGTACGTGTTATAATACCTTTTATATTTTTGTTATTTTTCTCCCTGTTGTGCCTCATAGAATTTTGGGATCATGTGGTCGTATAACAATTATTTTGCGATCAATTTCAGTGGTACATTTTAATGCGTTTAGCATCCTTCGATTATAGATTACATATAATTGATTTTTCATTGATATACAATAACGTGCATAGACATGAGATGGAAACATTGCGTCGCCTCATGAAAGCTTAAAAAAACTTCCGAGTTCATATTAATGTTTTCTCCACATGTTTTGTTTCGGGTGCGATGAGGTCGCCCGTGTCTCTAAACGCAAAAACTACTTTAATTAACAAATCCCTCGCAGTGCAGAATGTAGCGTCCAGTGGCAAAAACGCGCTGGGCATACGGAGCAAGTCGCGAGAAAGTTGACGCTCTCCTCTTACTTTTGCTTTTTTGCACGTTTACATTCGCTTTCGCTGCTCTGCACCTCACGTGTACGCAAGTTTTATGAGTTAACTTTGCTGGATTACGACCTACATTTGTGTGCCTTGTCGTCCTATCGTGTCATCAATAACTATAATGAATTGTAGGCATTATGAATAATGTGGTGTCACTAAAGCAGTGTCATGTCATTAATTAAAGTTTCGGCAATGAAAAGACTGCAACGCGTTCTTTAATTACCAAAATAATTAAATAATTACGCACGTAGTTTCAATAGATTTGGTTGTTAAACAATCTAATTAATTTTATTTGATTAGATTGGTCAATTAATAATTACTGTGGCTTATATTTTCTCCGATTTTGTTTCCCATTTTGATTGTTTGTTAAGAGTTAAGACTGCTACCTGCGTCAAGGGTCTTAATTCAAAGCTAATCTCTCTAATTAGACTCCAGCGACGATTTCGCAAGTTGCATAACGGACGCGTCTTCTTGCTTGCTTTTTGTTTCGATGGTATTGATGGTATCTTACAATTAATCCAACGGGTTACAAGTAATCCAACGAAAAATTTATTTACTCGTGCACTCTCTTCGTTTTATTGTTTGTGGAAACAATTGATGCTGCGAACTTTAGAATCGTGTGACATATACATGTCCAACTTAGAACGTGAAAACGGTTGCCCTATTATGGGCGATATTGGCAATCGCGGAACCAGCTTGACCTAGACCTCGGTACTGCAACATGCTCGATGTCATGATCTCGACAACAATGAACCTAGACCTCGGTACTGCAACATGCTCGATGTCATGATCTCGACAACAATGAACCAGTTACCGAAAATATGCGAACGGCGCACCATGACTTCATATCTAACATGGCAAGATGCTGAGCGAAACATAGAACCTACAATGACGATATTTTTGCCTGAAAATTTTTTTTCAAAGCACAAACTATTTAATTCGAGGTATGTGACACGTGTAGGTGTTTCAACGCTCCACGCATGATTGATTTCTCAGTTCGAACGCTTGACGATTCATTTCGAAGTATTTCGTGTATATACACTCTCGCTTAATTGTGCGTCAAGCGAATAAAAACTAGGACATCGGCTCCGAGGAAAATGGTGCAAAATTGAAATGTTTTTTAATACTTTCTTTTCATGACGAGGTGCTATACTCGCCACAATATTCACTTCTAAGCAACAACAATAATTATTTATGATATCTAATTATACCACGCTAGGAACAATTCTGATTACTTATTTTAATTATAAATCTGAGAGCTCGCATTATGTGAGTGCTCAATGCGATTAATACGCAAAATTTGTTGAATTGGCTGAGCAAAATTTGTTGAATTGGTTGATTCATTACGCGAACAATGCCGGCCACGGCAAAGTGCAACTGAACAACAATAATAAACTCGACCGGCATGAGGAAGCGACGAGGTTTTGTGTTCTGGGGATTGTGTTCTCTGGCTAGAACGCACGAGAGCTCGTTGTGTTCATTTTGTGTGAAGTTGAAAATTTGATGTCAGAATCACTGGTATCAAACTATTTGCAAAATTTCTTAAATTTTCCAGAATATTATCAATATAAAATAAATTGTAGTATTTCTCTTGTACGATGACAATTTTCAAGATGAATCTGTTGTTTTATACGCATTACAGTGAATATTATTTTACACTAATGTATATTTTATTCATTGGGATGCATGTTTCCATTCATTTACTAGATTGGTTGTGATGGTTTTATGTTACAATGATCGCCATGTTATATACTAGTGGGCCGTTTACAAAATTCTATGTAAATTCCACTGCCTCGTAAACCAAGTCATTGAGTAGCCGTTTATTTGCTTGACAAACTTGAGCTGGTGTATCAGAAACTCTGGTGTTGACCTTAGGGCAGTTGGGGAGAACGCTGAGCTTACAGACATTTTTTTTGTAAACTTATTAACATATTTTCCTAACATTTACTCATTAAAGGAAACGTTTAGTCATAGCCCAAACGTCGTTAGTTATGATGTGGATTCGTCGCTAGATTTGATGTGGAAATTGTGTGGTGTTCGTAAATATTTAATAACATTTATTAACCCTGCATGACACCCTTGTACATACCCACGTTGTTTTGTTCTGGGAGATCTCGTGTTAAAAAGGCAGGAATGTTGAATAAAGAGCTCAAGATGACCCCTAAAAAAGATTATTAATGAGCGCATGATGTTTGTCCCGGCAGAACAGATTATTAATGAGCGCATGATGTTTGTCCCGACAGAACAGATTATTAATGAGCGCAGTCATGGAGGTGAGTCTGCCTGTCATGGAGGTGAGTCTGCCTGTCATGGAGGTGAGTCTGCCTGTCATGGAAGTGAGTCTGCCTGTCATGGAGGTGAGTGGCCAGCTTCCTGTTCTACGTTCTTCTGGGTCATATAATTACCAGCGTTTAAATTGATTCAAATTTTAATCATTTCTTCGTTATAATGAAACCATCCGTATAGTTGTAGTCCTCTACAAATGAGGCAGTAAAAATTTCATTTATACAAATTACCATTGAAACCGTACTACTGATTAATATGCGTGTTATTCGAAATCAAGACCAGTATGGCTGAAATTGTCAACACTTCCAACGGCTGGAATTACTAATTCAACTCGAATAATCGGTCTGGCCGACGGATACCCGCCCATTATTGTTGTATATTAATGTTTTAAATATTATCAAATCCCTTGCCAATTACCCTAGCCAGGTTCAAACTCTGCTTTCACCGCGTAAGTTGATTTTGAACTGCTTTCGCTGGGGCGGTTCTGTTAGCCAACATAGCTGTTAATTTATATAAATGGGCTCATGCATGAACGCGTGCTAATGTTTAATGTTCTCTAGATGCCAAGGAAGATCTTTCTTGCCAGCGACCGAGCTCCAGCCACTCGAGTCCTCGCACCATATAGTTTATGAATACTTTTTTACAAATCTCAGTGCGATTTATAAGTAGTCATAATACATTTCATGGACCGCCTTGTATTAAGGTGAATTTTTTAGTAGGAGGACAACACTATAGACGGACTCGTTATAAAAGCATGCCTTATTTTGAACAAGACAGGTTCGGTTCTTTCTGACTTGGCAGAAATGAATCGCGCTTTTGATTAATTAGACTTGACATAACTCAATAGTTTATGTTTCGTTTTACTCGCTCGTATAAGTTTACGCACTGCCTCCATGTCAATTGTTCTGCTGCCACTTCTCGGCTGTTTTCGGCTAATTTCCGAAGGGTTTTATGTTTACCCAAATCAAGAAATTCATGTCGAAGCGATGCAGAGAGGTTGTTTTCGAGTACGATAGTAGGAACGTTGTTTATTTTTTTCCATACTTCGGCCCTGCGTCCGTAGCTATGTCAAGAGAATTAAAAGTCTTGTTCTCGAAGTACTTTCTAAATGTCAATCTTCACGCTTTGTTGGCAAAAAATAAAAAAAATCTGTTCTTCCATTATTCACAAAATCATGCTCCCTTCTCATATGCGATCGTCCTTAGTTTATTATTATTGTTGTACACGATGTACATCTGCGTTACGTCTGGATGATTTCACGCAATCTTTATTCTAGGGTCGCAGAGCATAAGGGCAGGAGTTTTAGGACCGGACAGTTACTATTGCGCCCTCCTCATTCGGCTGTGCATACCTACTCACGCCGAGCAGTGTGATGTCCCTGTTTCTGACAGTTACTTTAAGCTGTTAGCTTCCACTTCCGCTACATCAGATCTGCGTATTTTAGAATCCATGTACGTACATTTTTGAATTCAACTGAGGGCCAGTTTGAATTCAATTTTAGCCCCTATCCACTTGAGGTTGTGGAAAGATGTGTTTTGCAGTTTTTTATTATGTTTTGCCAATCATTTGTAATTTTGACTTTAATTCCGGTTCCTTGAATATCGATTATACTAGTTATAATTTTAGAACAATCGTTTGTACTCGTTTCTAAATTCTAGGTATCTGGACTCCGAACCGCTTTCTATTAAGATCTTATGAACTTGTGTGTAATTTTCTTTGCTTTTAAATTTCTTATTACGGTACGATTGAGCATGTTTCATCCTTGCGGCTGCTACGTCTCCAATCGAAGTAAAAACTTGGTAAATAAATCCATTGCTTGAACTGGATTTTTGTGACATTTCCTTGACTGTCGAATTCAAAATACATCATTTGAATTTTCTGTCGTCTTAGGTTATAAGTTTACGTGCAATTTGTGCATCATAAACTCGCGCCTATTTTGCTGGGCTGCAATAAACTAAATAAAATTACATGTGTGCGGATGATGTACGTATCATAAGTTGAGAAAACTCGCGCGGTTCCTTATTGTGGAAAACTTTTTAAATCAAAATTGGACGAAACAGTTGAACCTCTTGTGTGAATTAATGTATTGTTCTACCCAATATCCTTGAAGTTTGTGTTTTGAAATTGTCTACGTAAAGAATTAAACAAAATTCAAGTAATAAGCATATCGGAAGAAGTTGAATAATATGAATGGAATTTCTGTACCGTCATTTTTGACGTTTTTTTTGACGTCATTTTTGACGTATTCCCATCGCCACCTGGCTGACACGAGTTCTTTTTTCATAGATTGGGGACGATAACATTTTCTCGCTCATCGACGCTCGTTTTTAATTTGTTTGTCTTTCCCGTCAAAACTTTTACCATCGTAAACTTACATGTTTATCGCCGCTCATGTATCACGTAGGATACTTAATTACGTGGTGCCACATTTTTGTGATCAGATATCGAAATATCAATTATCACAAGGTTAGATATCGAAATAAGACATCGTTACCAAACTCCTTGCACATTGACGAGCCAGGTCTTTACGTCGCTATTGATGTATCTGAGTTTACATGAGTTTACTTCAAAACTCTTCTCATTTTCATTGGATTGATCAACTATAGTGAAGGCTTTATAATTTTTGGTAATGCACCAGCGCAGGCCCCTGCTATTAGGACTGAAATAAAAGAAAAGTTTCTTAGTTCGTTTCTGCTGAATGTTCAAGTTAATGCATTTTCTCTGCGTTGGAATCCTTAGTTATACTTTAGTTGTGTAGAGGTTTTCGTCGTCGTTTTTTTAGTCTATAGATTTTCTTTGTCGATAAAACTGCTTGATCATTTGACAATGCGAACTGGCTGGGAGAATTTTCAAGCTCCTGACTCGTGAGCAAGACAGCAGTCATGTGAACCACGTGAAGCTCCCAGTTGATTATACTCAATGGTCGGGGCAGAGGAGATACGAGGGCTGGCTCCTGACTCGTGAGTAAGACAGCAGTCATGTGAACCACGTGAAGCTCCCAGTTGATTATACTCAACGGTCGCAGCAGAGGAGATACGAGGGCTGGCGCGGGGACGCGAGGGTGACGGCAGCGAGGGGTAGTCAGTGCTAGCCGTAACTATTTTGGTTCAGTTATTAAGATATCGTTGTGTCGTCGGTAACGCGGTGCTCTCTGTCGCTTCTATGCTACCGTTATGAAATCGTATTTTCTTTTCAGTTTGTGATTAAGCTCCTAAATGTCCGTCTTTGCTCAAACGCTTAATAAGAATAATTTAATAAAACTATATAATTTAGCTCCGCTGATGGCTACATCTCAGAATTATATTATTTCATAGGCTGCGAACTAAGATTTTATTACACGTGTGCAAACGAACCGACATTATACTCATATATGGATCCATTTCAAAACAGATGAAAATACTTCGTGAATCTGTGAAATTGAGGCTCTTAATAAATTACACGCTACGTATGAATCAGCAGGAATCTTGATACTTCGTTCGCTCGTGATCATTACGTGCAATAAAATTGATGAAATTAACTGTTTTATTATAATTTAATTGTTATGCACTTGATACTCGCCTCTAATTGAGGTCACGTGCAATAAAATTGATGAAAATAACTTCTTTATTATAATTAAATTGGTATGCAGCCAATATACTGTTAGCTAATTCTTATGTAGTAAGGAATGAGTCTGAAGTATTTCCTATACCGTCATGCATGCCTGGGCAAGTTCTTTAATGAGTTTACAGTTACAGTTCAGTGAACTCAAAGTTATTACAGTTCAGTGAACGAGGGACTTTGGAGCAGCTTAGGTTTCAAGCTTCTTTGCTGTGATTAATCAGTATTTTTATCTACATGCTTTGATTGTGTATACAATGGGCATGGCTGCAGCATTCACCGATAGTTGTTAATTTTTGCCTGCATAGCAATGATCTGTTATTTACTGCATTTACATATATCATCAAGGTACTCATGTCCATACATCATCAAGGCACTCATGTCCATACATCATCAAGGTACTCATGTCCATACATCATCAAGGTGTTCATGTCCATACATCATCAAGGTACTCATGGCCATATATCATCAAGGTGTTCGTGTCCATACATCATCAAGGTACTCATGGCCATACATCATCAAGGTACTCGTGTCCATACATCATCAAGGTACTCATGGCCATACATCATCAAGGTACTCGTGTCCATACATCATCAAGGTACTCATGGCCATACATCATCAAGGTACTCGTGTCCATACATCAAGGCACTCATTAAAATGTTTAGGACTTGGTTGAAGATGCAAGTTTTAGTTACCTTAACCACGTTCATTTCTGAGAGCTCAATAAGCTTAATATGACGAAAGTTTAATTTTAAATGTTGGGAAAAGCTTTTTCTTTGTATAAATAAATCAAACTTTCATCACATGAAATAGCAGAAGAAATTATAATTTGTTTTCACATTTGAATAAACCAGATTTTCACTGAAATAAACGTGATTAATTACTACGAATTTATAATTTATAATTACGAGTGTTTGAACGTGCTATAAATATTTAGAGGTTATTGTGGAGACCCAAAATTGTCTTGATTGACAAAAAACTATTATTGTTATGAATTAAAAAAAATGATGAAAAATCAAAATCTTCTGGTGTCTGTGAGGAAATGTATACTTTTATTACCATGCTGGTTCTTCAGAGATTTTTTTTATATTTTGAGGATCATGAGCTGAGATTTTCTCGGAGACGCTATAATTTCTCACTTTTTTTATATTCTACTTGTATAATATCTTTCTTCTGATATTAAAATATTAGTAAAATATTATATTAATTAAGATAGTTACAAGAATTGCATCGAAGTTCAAGTAAAATATTATATTAACATAACATAACATAACATAGTGATGTCGGCGCTGCAGTGTAGGCCTGATGTGGCCTGTCGCCGATTCTTTTCCATTTCGTGCCTTGTTCATAGATCTAAACTCGTGTCATTTGACCGGATCTTTTCATGACTGGCGATAGTTTGAAGTAGCTACTAGACTTCCACCGGGTTCGATAAGATTAGTTAAGATAGTTACAAGAATTGCATAGAGGTTCAAGTAAAATATTATATTAGTTAAGATATTTACAAGAATTGCATAGAAGTTTAAATAAAATATTATATTAGTTAAGATAGTTACAAGAATTGCATAGAGGTTCAAGAACGACAGTGAGACGGTATGAGTACCCCAGCCGTAGCGCCCCCGCTCGAGGCGCCACAAGTTGTCCCCGAGTGTCCGGACAAGATTTGCTACCGGCCCGTCCGGCTGCCCTTCCCTCTGGATAACCAGTCCGACGTTATCAAGGTGATAGCACCTACACCAATATAAATGAATGAGTCTTGTTGTCCAAATGATGGCACACTTTCTTACACAAGGTGATAGCACCTCTACCAATATAAATGAATGAGTCTTGTTGTCCAAATTATGGCACACTTTCTTACACAAGGTGATAGCACCTCTACCAATATAAATGAATGGGTATTTTTGTCCAAATGATGGCACACTTTCTTATCCATATGACGAGCAGTGAGCAGACGTAGCACTAATACGCCTATGTAAATACCGGGCCAAACTGGGTCAAGGTAACCTACACATTAGCAAAATGTGCGTTGGTCAAAGCCTCAGTCATTTCTGTGATTGCTTCTATTAATTAAAATGTGTGCATTTACTACATTACATTCCCATTAACCAAAACATTGCTACATGTATCAACTAAAATGTGCGCATTTACTATATTAGATTCCCATTAACCAAAACATTGCTATTAACTAAAATGTGCGCAATGTGTTGGATTATTAAATGTATCACCGTGATGCTAATAATTATTTGTGATCGGTGAACAAATTTTTTGGTTTACAATTTTTTTCTTTGTATTATGATGGCTGTTTTAGTTTGATGATAGAAACGTAATGAAGGTGCGAGCCATTGCGATGTGCAAGAAGATTATCCTTTACAATCCTCTACTCGATTTGGTGCGGCTTTCTGTACTTATGCTTTTTTTGTTGATATATATAACATATTTATAAAGATTTATTTATTGTGTTTTGAGGATATTATCTTACCAAAACGTGAGGATTAAGTAGGGAGTACAATAAGGCATAGTCTGTTGATTATAATATATCAAGCAGCAATGAACCACAGCAATCGTTCCTCGCAGTTTCCCCTGGAGTTCCTCACTGCAATTCAATGGTTGCCAGTGTTTGCTTTCAAAAACAAAAATGTCGCAGGCGGAGAAATGTTGATGTTCATAATTTTTCTTCCTGGGTTTCATACTTTAGCCGAGCAAATTCATCTGCAGTTTATAAACCAAAGTTTCGGAATTGTCACGAGATTAAAGTAGTAGATTTTCGGTTGGTTTTGAGGCCCAGAGTGTTCACACACAAAGGGGTGAAACTAGATGTGCTTGCGTTTCGTAGAAGAAGGCAAATAACAATTTTATTTATTTTCAAATAACTTCAGAATTTACGATTTGGTGAGTGTCATGCTTAAAATATAAGTCCATGTTGCGGATTTTATTTGGATATTTGCCGTGCATATTTTAATTAATATTGTTCATGCTCACTATGAAGAGAATTTTTGAAGTCGATTGAAGTCGAATTTTATGAATCGTTATATAAATGAAGCACTGAAGAGTTCAAACTTGTGCTTCCTGCTTTAATGAAGATAAATACGAATAAAACGTATTAAAATTGATCGTGTAGTATCAGCGGAAATTCGCCCGCTGTAACTACTTTTAAAGTGAGACAATCGATTACAAAGTTCTTGAACGTTTACTGTCATAAAAAAGAGTGAAAACTATAAAGTAAATAAATACAACAAGTATTTGTTAAGCTGACACAGAGTGCTGTAAAGCTAAACAATTACAATAATTATTTGTCTAGCATTAATTTCAGTTTTAGCTTAATCATTAACAAATACAAGTATTAATTTTACCTTTTTATTAGCCTCGCATTCGCATTATGCTGAGATGTGATGTCTATACACTTGATGGATCGACTGAGTTAACATGATCTGTCATGCATTAGTGTGTGTGTGCTACTGCAGCCGAGAATGTTTCGCTCCACAAACTGACGCAATTTTCCTGTGACCGCGTCTGTAATCGCACATCAATTTTGTATTTTTATCCTAATGGCGTGGAGTTGTAGCGTTTGAGTGTCAACGAGGGTTAAGTTGAAATTTTCTGCCGGTATGAAAAAATACGGTGACGCCCGTACGATGCCGTGGCATACAATCGACTGCTAAATCCAAGTCAGATCGACTTTTTCCGCTGTTTCTTCGAACAGTGCGCACGTGTGACATTCAAATAGCAACACGACGAAAATATCCTAGACATCTACGCTTAATGAAGTACATTTATTAGCATATTTGCCCAATTACTTTTTGGAGCTGTTATCTCTCGATTGCCATTAAGTGAACCGTATTAGCGCTTACGATTTTTTGGAGACTCGCCTTATTAATTCGGTGACTCACCGGCCACTATTACCTTATTTTTAAACTTATCCTCCTCGAACTTTGAAGTAATTCGGACTAATTTCTGACAATAAAGCTCATATGGGAAAAAAAAATTTCATCTCAACAAGGAGCGTTACTCATACATTTATGCTGCTTCAACTGCTAACTGCCGAGTGCCAACTCTGTACCTTATCCGGCCACCTTCAGAGTGCCAACATTTCACTGCCAGCGGTCGCCTTTGGCATGCAACTCTTGCAGCGATCGTGCGTAAGGCATCCGGCCGTGCGTGCAACGACAACGAGAGTGAAGTTCATATGCTTCCGCAGCGCTTCAAGCGAGCCTCCGGCAAATGTGACCCATTCATCAGTAGTGCAGGGAAAATGTCTCTCTGAGCTAAGTACTTGATATCTTCCACTTGAGTGATCATATTTCTTACTAATCATGTACTGACTAATGTTTCTCATTCATAGACAGTGTGGGAAATAGAAGCTCCA